CTGAGCATTTAACTCAGGAAATTTTTACAAACCTCACCATTGGGTATTACGTTATTGTCTAATCACTGGAACATAATCAGTATAAGTTGTGCCTTTCCTCTCTTCTCCAATGTCATTCTTACTCCTCAGTAGGGGGCTGCCCCCTCTGGTTTTTCATCATCCATAGCGGACTGCCCTCTATGCACCTAGTAGCAATCCATAGAAAGACAGGTCTTTCTTTGGATCAAAGGAGGGGAATGAAATATATGATTGCACCCCTATTTTACCCCAATCAGTATGAATCAGTTAGTGATTGTATAGGGGTAGTGATTGGTAGTAATTATCAATATATTATACCTATAATCAATATACATTTAGTCAATCAAACAAATTAGCCAACAAATCAATTTACATTTAGTCTTAGTCAACCAATTAATATATTATACATGTTATTAATATACATGTAGTTAATCAATTAACATACTATACTTATCAATATATATTTAGTTAATCAACTAATTGAGAATAATGAAATAGGATAGATTCTCATTATAAAGGACCCTAGACCCTTATAAAAAGCCTCAAACCTTTAATGAAAGACTGAATATTGCACAAATAGTCCCTTACTAAGAAGTTGCTTGCCAAATCATAGGAAACCAACTAGAGGAGCTCCACCCTTTCCGCCTGCTAAGCAGAGGACCAAGCCCAGCATAATTATATCTCCCCTTAAGATATGATTAATGAAGTTTTGCTGTTTAAGGCAGAATCTTGTGGAACTTTGATTTGATATACTTCTGAGGGTGTTTTTTTTTTTAATTTTCAGGTACACATATAAGATTGCAAAGCCAATAATCCACCATTCCAGAGACTCTCATTTCCTTCAGTCTCAAGACTGCTACAGGTAGATGTTTACTCTTGGAAGAAAGTCAAGAGGGAGACCTTACCAAGGAGAAGGAACTCCTCTTGACTTGATTTCCCATCTGGCTACTTCCTTTCTCAACAGGAAATTTTCCCACCTAGATTAATTTTGAACATGGCTTTTGATAACCTGAACAAAGTGGAGCTTCAATAGACTGTTAACTATCCCTTTTGCCTAGAATCAAACAGAGCTAATGAAATGCTTCCCCTGTTATGGCTTCTCCATATCATCATAACCATATGCCTCTTTTTTCCTTTCATAAGAAACTTCTGTTAACACGACCGTTAGATATGGTTTGATAAATAAGTTCTGAAACATCTGGGTTACAATAATGGAATGAAAGTATAACAAGTCTTACTGTTCCTAGCTTTGCCACTCCCCTTGCTAATAGTTATATATTGATGTTTCTAGGATTAAATTTGGAAGTATCTCATTTTTAACAGTAATATGAGGATATTGTCCTCCTAATGGAGGCAATTAGGGAATATCAGAAAAGTTTGTAAGAATTAGTAGAAGTTTCCCAAGAAAAGTTTTCTAGTAAATTTTGAGGAAGCAGGCTGTTTTCTCCCAAAACTATGCATATATCTGTATGTATATAAATATAACTAGCTTATAGGATTACATTGCTAATTGCAATTATTTTCCTGTTTGAAGCAGCTATCTGATCATTTTAAGAGAAAGAAAGTTTCCATCATGATATAACAATCCTCTGAATTCAGGTGAATTATGTGTTCTTAATTTGATGCTTTTCTTATAGCTCTGTTAATAAAATCAGAACCATAAAACTTGAGCTAATAGTCATATTAAGTTATGTTGAGTTTGTATTAAATCTTCCTACGTGCTCTTGGAACCTCAAAAACAGATCTGGAAGGAAGACAGAGCTATCCTAAAGAAATACACATCTATTGCTTCCTACAATACAAAGCATGCTAAAATATCTCCAGTTTGGGAGCTGCAGTACAGACTAGACTTTTGAACTTTTTCATCAATAGCAGGGATTTCCAGGGAACTGGTGGAACTCAACAAAGGACTTTGTTCTCTTCACCCCCACCCACCATGTGTCATTGCCTCTGTTCTAAAGGGGACTGCCCCCTGAAAATTTTGTCAATGTGCAGACCATAGGTAATAAGGCTTTAATCTGTAGAACTGCCTTCTCACTTTTTGAAATTGTACTAAAATTATATCACTGCCATCAATCCTAGCACTATTGCCCATACCCCTCTCCTATGACGACTGAGAAATGAACAATGCTGTCCTTAGACTTCAAAGTCAGGTAAGATATAATCTACTCATTGGACTCCACAGATGTTGAGTTTATCACCAACTCCACCAAAGCACCTCCAAATCATGAGTGCCTATTCCTGTCCACATACTTTTGCGTTTAAAAAAAATGTGTTTAAAAAAGTTAGGTGGTGCAGTGGATAGAGCACAAGCCCTGGATTCAGGAGGACCTGAGTTCAAATCTGATCTCAGACACATAACATTTACTAGCTGTGTGACCCTGGGCAAGTCACTTAATCCCATTGCCTAACCCCCCAAAAATATTTTTTAAAATGATTGTATAATCATTAGAGTTAGTAGGAGAATTTGTCCAGCATGTCATCTCAAGAAATGCTTCTGGAGGACCCAGATGTACAAAAATATTTACAGCAGCTCTGTTTGTGGTGACAAAGAATTGGAAATTGAGAGGTTGCCCATCAAATGGGGAATGGCTGAACAAGTTGAGACATATGAATGTAATGGAATACTATTGTGCTATAAGAAATGATGAACAGGCAGACTTCAAAAAAACCTGGAAAGATTTGCATGGTCTAATACTGAGTGAAGTAAGCAGAACCAGGAGAAAGTTGTACACAGTGGCAGCCACGTTGTGCAATGACTAACGTTGATAGACTTAGCCTTTCTCAGCAATGCAAGGATCTAAGACATCTCCAAAAGTCTCATGATGGAAAATGCTCTCCACATTCAAAGAAAGAACTATGGAGTTTGAATGCAGATTGAAACATACTATTTCTATTTTTTTCTTCTGTTTTGTTTCATTTTCTTTTTTTTGTGGTTCCTCCTATTGGTTCTAATTCTTCCTTACAATATCACTAATGTGAAAATATGCTTACTAGGAATATGTATGTATAGCCTATATCACATTGCACATTGTTTTGGTGAGGAAAGTGGGGGGGGGGGGGGAAATATTTAAAACTCAAAAGCTTATGGAAGTGATTGTTGATAAATCAAAATAAATTAATAAAAAAGAGAAATGCAGATTAAGACAACTGAGAATTTACCACACACTGTCCATATTGTCAAGGATAACAAAAAAATTTAAAAAGAAATCCATATATCAATTAGAAGATAGGAACACTAATGCACTGTTGGTGGATCTGCAAACTGACCAACTCATTTTGGATATCAATTTGGAATTATAGCTGCATAACAAAGGAAATAATTATATAAGAAAATAATTAAACTGTAATCTTTGAAAAGTGTTTCTGGGCTGATGTGGAAAGAAGTAAGAGTCAGACTAGAAATACTACTGAATATTTTCAGAGGTTACCAAACTCATTTGGCCTACCTCCCCCCTTTAAAAAAAAAAAATCCATGCTCCCCTGGAAATCTTTATTTAACCCTTTAATGGTTTTTTGGAAATTTTCATCATTTCAAAAAAATGAAATATATATTTTTAAAACAAAGCATCTTAAATTTAATAATTTATTCTAAATTTGTGGGTGTTTTCCTGCGTTGAAATTTTGGTGATGCAATATTGCATCATGTAACTATATAATATCATCTTCTAAACAAGTCATTACACCAACATATTCCTGCTGATACATGCTGGACTCTCGACAATGAACGACATGCTCACCTGCCAACACCTGCTCGTTAAGATTTGTTGGTGGACTTGACCACTGAGTGGTTATAACTTGTGTTTTGTGTGTTTATTTGAAAAATAATGTAACTGGGGCAGCTAGATGGCGCAGTGGATAGAGCACCAGCTCTCAAGTCAGCAGGATCTGAGTTCAAATCCAGTCTCAGACCAAACAATTGACACTTACTAGCTGTGTGACCCTGGGCAAGTCACTTAACCCCAACTGCCTTAAAGAAAAGAAAAATAATGTAATCACTACAACTTTAACTCTGTTACACTACAGATGAAACATGATGAATGGTTTTTCAAAATTGTGTTCTCTTCTTTCCTTATGTTTTCACAAAAACGTCACCTTATTTTCATTCAATGCTCCCCAATTGCATCTGAGACTACTACTGCCCCCTTGTTTCATTCCAGTGCCCTTCAGGGGGCAGTATCATCCACTTTGAGAACCTTTGCTTTAATTGAAGAATAGTCTCCAACCTTTGTAACTTTTGCTATTTTTTAAAGGGCATCCAAAGACTGATTAGTAGAAATTGGACAGCTGACTCTAGCCATGCAAATCAAACATTCCTTTTGGGACAATTGCTCATAAAAACCCTGGACCAATTGAAGAAATTTGTTTATCTTTTTAAATGATCCATAAGGAAATTGATTTTCTTAAGGATTAAAGGGAGGAATTGAAAGAAATCATTCCTAATCAAGTTAGTATTGTTTATCCTGATGATTTATTTTAGCTTGTAAGGCCTACCCCAGGTAGCTTTTAGATTAAGAGGTATAATCATTGTAGTCAGAGACTGTTTCTCCTTTTTGCAGAAGTAAGCCCCTGCTTGCTGAGCTGAACTAGCATAAACATTTCCTGATTTCTGAAGTCTCAATTACCTTTTCTATCCAGTTAAGCTAACCTCTGAGTTCAACTCTTTGTTCAACTAAGTTAACATTTTGACCACACTTACCATAGTAACAGGGCATTTCAGTTAGCACAATACTCCCTTGATGGACATACTGAGTGACTTGATATCTTGGCCAAATTAGATAAATAGCCTGGTGAGTTTCCCCACTCTGAAACAGCCCATCAGACCCCCAATATACCTAGACTTCGAATGTTGACAGTACTGATGACTTACATCTGCACTGTTCCAGGATGTAGCTAGCCAAACCACAAGTCAAGTGACCCATCTCATGTTGAAAACAAGTTTCTTAAGATTCTATAATTTCCTAGTTCCTGGTTGACTACTATAAAGGAACCTCTGTAAGACACATTTTTGTCTCGAACTTTTGAGGAGTCAAATGATCTGGTTGGTTGGAAACTCCTCAGAACTTTGAGCCTCAATCTCACTCTGCTTCAGAGGTTACCATTATACTCTGTGCAGTGACAAATATTTGCATTTAGAAAGATGATGATCTGGCTTTCTCCATTGCTGTTTCTGATGATGATGACCAAAGTAGACAGTGCTTGTAAGTCAAATTTTCTACTTGCAAATTTTCCCCTTCACTCTATGGTGTATTCATGGAAATTATTAGGGAGACAAGGAACTGAAGCTGGCTTGAGGGTAACAGCAGGAGCATGTATCCTTCCCCAGATTGGACACAGCAGATTTCTGAGTCTTTGGAGAAATAGGAATGGGAAGAAGTTGAGGTATCAGCTCAAATGTATGGAAAGGGCTGCATGTGGCCTATTTCATAGGAGAGGGATTTTGACTTTTCTCATTGCCTCATATTTATTAAGGCTTCATGGGGCTGGACACCATACTAAGCAAGTTAGAAATGGGTGTGATCCTTGATCTCCTCAGGAAGGACAGATGAAACCAGGATCCTCTACCCTGTGGGGGAAACTGGCAAAAACCAATAACTTCAAGCATTCTCTGTGTGTTTTTGAAACTCAGGTCTCCATCTGAGCCTACAAGAGGCCTGTGCTTCTCCCTCTGGATCCATATCTCGAAGCTGCAAGGAAATCAAAGAGAGCTGTCCAGAGTCAGATGGTGAGTGAAGACAGGTCAGGATGGTCCCTGGGTGACTGGGTCCTCACCAGTGCAATCTGAACCATGTTTTAACCCATCTCAGTAAAACTGTGGCAACGAAATGTTTGTCCAGGAGACTGAAGCCCTAGTGGAGCTTCAGCAGCCTGAAGCCTGAGAAGTCAGGAAGCAATAAACCTGCTTCATCCTCATGCTATTTCCATTTTATTTCCTTCCACTATCTCCTACCTCTTTGTCTCCTCTTTCTTGACTACTTTTGTTGTCATTGTTGTTGTTGAGTTATTTCAATTCTATCTCAATCTTTGTGACCCTATTTGGGGTTTTCTTGGCAAAGATACTGGAATGGTTTGCCATTTCCTTCTCCAGCTCATTTTATAAATTAGGAAACTGAGACAAACAGTGTTAAGTGATTCGCCCAAGACCACATAACTAGTGTCTGAAACAAGATGTGAATTCGGGAATATGAGTCTTCCTGAATCCAAGCCCAGCATTCTATCTACTGAGCCACCTAACTTCCCCTCGGCTGTTCTAGAGCCATGAAATAGAGAGAACTAAGGGGCACCAATTCTTCTCTGCCTGGTGCTCTACTCAGTACAGTCATTCTAGGATAAAACCTTTCAGATTATGGTCCTTTGAAACAAGCTTAGAGAATAGAGGGTTCAGGGTCAGTGATTCCAAATGGGAGAGAAGCTAGGGAGTCAGTAATGTTGTGGGTCTCTGTGCCACAGGGTTAGTATTTAAAGCCCTGTGATGCTGAACTTCACATTTACAAGGTCTCAAGTGTTGGCTCAGGCCTGCAAATTCTTTGTTGACTTCCAAAGGAGTGGGCAAGACAAAGCATGTGTGACATAGGGGAAAGAATGCTAGACTTAGAGCCAATTAATGTAGATTCAGGGCTTTGTCCTGACACTAATCAGCTAGTGTGAATATAGTAGTAACAATTTCTCTGAGCCTCAGGTTCAAAATCTAAATGAGAATAATGTATATATGTAATATAAATAATGAGAATAACATAATAACAATAAATGGATTATCCGTCTTACTGAGTAGTGGTTAGGAAAACTATTTGCAAACTCATAAATACTACACAAATGGGAGTTATGATGCAGCAAATTGTCTCAAATAAGAGATTTCCAGTTGGAAATCTTGTTTCATTGTCCTGATTCAGCCTCAACTCAGAAACACTCTCCCAGATTCAGGGAAAGAAGAGTTTCTCTAGTAAAGAATGCCCCAAGGCCAAGTCTGGGTGAATCCTGGAAGGTGATTCCTCTAGTTTTCAGGCCTTTTAAAGTCCCTAAGATTACTCGTGTGCTGTCAATGAGTGAGCCTCTGTGGCTTTGTCCTTTGCAGATGGCCTGTACTTTCTCCAGACTGGAGATGGGAACCTCTACCAGACCTTTTGTGACATGAGGTCTGGGGAAGGTGGCTGGACCCTGGTGGCCAGTGTGCATGAGAATCACTTGGCAGGGAAGTGCACTCAGGGGGATCGCTGGTCCAGCCAGCAGGGTAACAGACCAGACTACCCTGAGGGTGATGGGAACTGGGCCAATTATGCCACCTTTGGATCCGCAGAAGCTGCTACCAGTGATGACTACAAGGTAATGCCCAGGGGGCCTGCTAGACCCTCTCTGTCTGAATGCCAAATGCCTCTTGTTTGAATGAGTACAATTTACCTCCAGATGGGTCCTGAGTTCTTACCCCTGGAGTTTGTGGTCCTTTGATTATTTATGGGAGGAGTGTCACCTGATAGGACTAAGCTAATTTTTTGGTGGAAAAGAGATTGGATGTGTTTGGTTTGACCCCAGCAGCTAGAAGCAGGAACAGTAGGTGATGAGTGAAAAGTGGCGAATTTAAGCTGGATGTCAGAAAAAAATACACTTCCTAACAATTAGAATTGTTCAAAAGTGGAATGGGCTGCCTTGAGGGGTGGTGGGTTCCCCTTCATTGAAGGTCATCAAGTCAGACCACCTCTTGCTAGGTATGTTACAATAGTGAGTCTTCTGCGTATGGGTTAGATGAGATGGCTGTTGAGGTCTCTCCTATCTTTCAAACTCTGTGATTCTGCGTTTTGTGAGCTACTCTGCACGCATGAGCAGTGGGACTCCAAAGCTCAGTCTAATAAATAAGGGCCTTTAGTTTCAGTCTCAGTCTTCATGTGACTTCCAGGAAGGCCACTGAGAAGATAAAATGGATTCTTTTTGATTTTTCATTGATCCTATTTACAGTTGACTGATTTTGTCCTGTTGCTGACCAAGTCACAGTTCTGTCTCTAAACATAGTACAGAAATTCAGCAGTTCAGTAATGAGTTAAGCTTAGACATCCAGTACTTCAGCTAATCACCGTTCTACTCTTGTCTCAAGGAATTCTGCTGCCCTTGGGGGATGCAGGTGAATACCAGGGAGTCTGGTCTAGAATGTTTATATCACCAAGCTATCCTTCAAGGATGACTGGTTTGCTTTCCAAAGAGGTCTGAGCCACCATTTTTAACCTTGCAGTAGGACTCAAACAATGAACAATTCTTATCACAGGTGGGAGGGAGAGGGTTGTTGCTAGCCCCTCACTCCCAACTTCTAACCAGTCATATTGTCCCCCATTCCTCAGCTATGTAACCAGTCACATTGTCCTCAACCATATGGTATCACCTACCCTTTGTTCTAATCCTATAAAAATGAGTTAAGTCTTTATCATGGGTTCTTTGGCTTGCTGAGGCAAAGCCATTGGCCATACTATTGGCAAGTAGCAGCCTTATTAGTAATTAAATGTTATCCTGCTTGGAGAGGATGTGCCTCAGTCTACCTTTGTTGAATTGTACTCATGACACCATTGGGCTCAGACAACTGTTGTCCTCTAGAACCCAGGTTACTATGACATCCAGGCCAAGGACTTGGCCATCTGGCATGTGCCCAACAAGTCTCCCCTGCAGCAATGGAGAAATAACTCCCTGCTGAGATATCATACCTCCAACAACCTCTTCAAAAATCTGGGAGGGAACCTGTTTGGCCTCTATCAGGTAAACTGGGTTCCTTGAGCCAGGTGGGTGGGGAGCATCCCTGGGAAGTGGGCTCAACAGGACCACCAAATACCTCTCCTCATGTTGTCACTTTCTACCTCCTGAAGAAGTATCCAGTGAAATACGGGACTGGCAAGTGTTTGACTGACAATGGCCCAGCTGTGCCCGTCACCTATGACTTTGGTGATGCAGAAAAAACTGCCAAATATTACTCTCCAAATGGTCAGAGTGAGTGTTTGTTATCTGAGCCCCAAAC